AAGAAGGTGTCCCTTTTACTATTTGTGTACATATAGTACTTCAGATCAAAATCAATTTTACACCTGTTGTTTGCGTAAGATTGTAGTGTAGAGATGGAAGTATATTTGGAATTGTTAAGTTTATACGTCTACACTACTGTCTCATTATGGATAAACCCCTGCTTACTAAATGCTCTGGTATTTTTCGTTCAGTACATTTAGGGTATTTCTAAATGCACCTACCTTCGATGCTAAATTCACCTATATGCTTCGTAGAATATCTACTCATTTAGCCTTAAATAAGTCATATATAATAATGCTGAGAGAACATACACTATTGAACAAGATTATGTTCACCGTGTAGCCGTAAAATATCGTCCTTTTAATCTTCATAACTTGAACGTCTACATGACGATGAGACATCGTATATTCACCTCCCTTGGTGCAGCTCGCGGTGTGATACCTTAAGTTGCTCCTATCTTGATCTCAACGACTAGCCGTGATGCTGTCTTGATGCCCCTGCAAACACTGATAAAGAAACTACTTCTTCTACTGATCCTTCTATTTCCCGTCGATCACGAAGATGTGAAGATCCCCTCCCAGTTGTACTATTCCGAAGTCACGAGCAAACTTTCCGGACCGTCAAGTAGTACGCCGTAAGCCAAGATTTTGCTGCTATTATATTACCGCACAAGATCGCGACGCATCAAGCGCGGTTCATTGCTAGAAAGAAATAAAGTATTATGTATTTCATGGAAGGCTGGTGCCTTCGCGAGACCGTGAAAGAAAAGTTTTGGCTGTTTGTATAAGATCGCTACCACCTTTGACAAGATTTGCCCGAAGATAAAGCCTGGTTGACACTTTGTTTAAAAATTTGTCACACTGTCCATCCCTGATGTATTATTAAGACAAAAAATTAACACTATACGCGACGAGGTACGTGTCACGGGGATACGATAATACGAAAGCCAGGGTCATTCGTATGCATCAGTCTGGGCTGCTCCATGGGTATATGTGTTTATGTGGTAATCTAGAAATTCTATAACAGGTGTGTCGTAACAACATGTAATTTTGCATAGGTTGTACTGAACCTTTTGAAGAAAACAAGTCATTATGAAAGCAACTAATGCTCCCGACATCGTCCGGAAAGACATTTTAATAGATTTGTGCGGTTTATATTATACAAATACTTTAATGTTCTACATTAAGGTTAAACATGTCACGGCTACAGCTTTAGAAGACCAAGTCAAAAATGTTCGGCATCTCTTTTGAAAACTCGATCTATATAAGGACTTCACCTGCCGTTACCACGACCTCCTCTTCATTGATTTCACGTACAAGAAAATTGACTACAACCTCTCTTTCCTGCAAATTTTAGGCTTTACATCTACTAACTAGACTTTTTCAGCTGCACTTGGATTTTTGTATGGTGAAGATTTCGATGACTATGTCGGGATGATAAGCGAGGTTGACGGTACTATCTCGCGACATCCGAAGGTTCTTGTTGTATATTGCGATCGTGGATTGATCAAGGCTATTTCTGATAAACAGTCAGGCGCAGCAATTATCATCTGCCGATATCACATCTCAAACCTTGTAATGACCCACTGTAGAAGGAATATTGCTGACTCCAGCGAGCAAACTCAAAGATTATACACGAACCACTGGAAGAACGTGGTTCATGTGCATACAAATGATGAATTTATGAAGTTCTAGAAGCAGCTCTCTACAATTGCGGTATATTATTCTTTCATTACTCGCATTTTAGTTAGTGTAAGATTTATTTTATGTTTTATATGGATAAAAACTATCGAGTACCTTTATGCGAACATGTTTCCTCTTCGCAGTTATTGTGCTTCGTACTGCATCGATCAGTAATAGCACTTTGGACATACTGTGACCTCGCGTGCTAGATGGGCAAATGATAATAGCATAACGACATTAATTATTAACACAAGCGGGACTCTCCTGGACGTTTACAAACTTTACGCGAGGCGTGGAATAAAATCACAGAAAGGTACGCAAAAACATGGAAAAGGAAAGAGTCAAAATCCTCACGAACCTTCCGGCTACATTTTTTTTCATTTTTACATCGCAAGATCTCACGCCACGCCATGTGCTAGTAACTATCCCTACCTTCTCGCCTAAACCGTGCAAGCCTCAAATAATGCACCGGATATCGCATAAGGGTCCTTGTAATCCCCTGTGTACACATCATTTGTTGTCAAATTGATACAAAAAGCACATTAGAACTAATTAATTTGCCAAGCAATGTAAATCGGACATTAACAACAAACTCGATCATGAAGTTTTCGGAATTTAGCCACCTTTTTGCCCTTGAAAGATGCAAGGTCGAAGCCGGGCGCATTAATTATCGATCAAGTGTCTTCTTCAAGGCTTTCAACACGTAAAGAGGCAACTTGGTGTCAGAAAATGTAACTACTGCCATAAATTTGGCCACAACAGACGCTGATGTCCCTCGCGTGCATTTATCGAGACATCTGTAGATAATGAAGCGCCAGTAATAGCCGGCTTACCCAAAAGTCTGCCGTCCATCCATTTTATCTTTCAGTGATGCCTCATCCATTGCATGCCCAACGATTAATCCTGACGATGCGTCTGACTCAACCTATGCAACACACCACAATTTCACGTCACCCGTTTCAGCTACGGTGCACAGGCATGCATCGATGTTGCAGCTCCACCTGTGCGACATACGCCTTTTTACGTCCATCCGGCCCAGTCCAACCTTAACCTCCACGGTGTCAGGTTGATCTTGCTTTTTCGCCGTTGGGCACAACTCCGATTAGGCACCGAAAACAAAAGAAGGTCGTAGTTTTGCTTAGTGCGATGTATTTGTATGATTAAACTGCATCGGATATTTAGTACAGTAAACGTTCTCTTGTCAACTAATGATTGTTCTCTCAGCATTAATCATTATCCGTTATTCTAATGAATGAATGAATGAATGAATGTAGATTATGTCTGATCCACGGATAAAAATTCCAACCTGTCTTGCGGAATTATGGTCCTTACACTCTCCCGTACTTGAGGGCTCGTTGTCGGCGATTAAAGTCGACGATGAGCTTTTTGCAATGAGAAACGTGACGAGTTCCCCATTCACGCTCTTGAGTTGCTTCGTGTTTGTCTTTACCATGCCATTGCGTGTTGCCGATTAATCGGACGTTTTTATCAACTTCTTCACGATTTGCAACCGATTTGATTGTTTGTCGCTGACGAGCTTGGAATACTTGGATATAGGTTTACCAAAGAACTTGTCTGGAGCTGAGAAATATGGTAATAGCACATCAACATTAAATGTAGGATTCATCCTGTTCATCGATCATGAAGGTTCCATCTTGGCCACATTTTGATTGATCGTCTGAATGACCTTATGTGGCTCAACCTTACGTTCAGCAAACTTTATCATTTAATGTCTGCATCCTTCACGGCGTAAGTTGAAGGATTGAGAAGTGTATCGATCATGAAAACGTCTACTCGCTATAGCACAATCTGGTGAACGCGACGCTTTTGATCATTATACCCTTTTTGCGTTCCTGAGTCTTGATCAAGTTTTTACGGGCTTAAAAGATGATCGTATGCTTTTCTTCTGCAAACGCTTTGGTATACTCCGCGAAACAGTAAATCGTGCTTTCGAAACTTTTGTTTTCTCACAAACCTGTCTTTCCTTCCGTCCGCTGTCAAAATCAATAAGTGAGAAATCCATAGACGCACTGACCAGCGTAGCATGGGCATACTCGATAGTATAAAGGTAGTGAACCCAGTCTTGACCTTGGTGAGATACCATGTAACGAAGGGCGTCTTTAAGCACTACATTCTCGTTACGTTGGTCCATCTGCTTGAGCTTAATGAGCAGTGGTCATACTGAGCTTGACTATCATAATCTGCATCAGGAATTTTCAGAAGCTTAATGGGGGTTTGACATCTCTGTCACTAGTTATGACTTTTGATAACTCGCGATGACGAACCGGTGTTGCGAAGAAACACTGGGCCACATTTGTAGCTTCGTCATTCGTATGGACAGCGGCATATTTAGCTCGCTTGGCTGTCTTGTCGACGACAGTCATTATTGCGTCTAACCCTTCCTATGTAGAAAGCCCTTGGATGAAGTCCATCGTAATAGTTGAAGCATTGCCCCGAAATTCGACCGGTTTTAAAAGCCCGTTTTTATGTTGGTTGTCATGTTTCCAACGGGTACATTTTTTACTCCTTTAAATACTACATAATGTCTTTTTGCATCGACTTTCATAGATACAAAAGGGCTATGAAAAGAAACGTGCGGCAATTTTCGGGATGTGGTACAATCGGCGAATCATGGTGATCCGCAATTATACGAGTACGCAAGCGATTGTCGGTTAGATAACACAGCCATTTTAAATTTTTGGTCAATTCGATCAACAATAGGTCGCCCTCCTTGACATACGCTATAATTGTTGTAAAAGAGACGTCTCGGCATGATGTGAAAGAAATGTGTTCTGTAGCTCAGCCGGTTTGGTATGGCAGTACCATCCCAAAGGTCACTGGTTTGATACCGGTGGGGGCGTACAAACAACAAGTTAAGCCTTCGGGATCTGGTGTTTGGGGTTCACCAGCACTGTACTGCCAGACAGTGACGTCCCCCATTTTTGGTACGTTTGGGTGTTCAGAAACGCACGACCAGAATTAGAAACGTACGACTAGACGATTAGTAATGCGCGATGTGGCCATTACTAATGCGCGACTATACGATTAGTAATGCGCGGCATAGCGATCAGGAACGTGTAGTCGAAGAATCCTGTAGGCTTAGAGTAGCAACAGAGTTTGTGAACTAAGGACATAAATGTATTTACTTCGCATTTTACCATCTAGTGCTCGACTGCCTTAGCCTTCAGGTTATGAGCCCAAGCCCCGTTTCCTCCAACGAAGACTCCGACTACGCCTTCACCATGGACGCTGCCGCAACGCCGACCACCCGCATTAACAAGTTTTAGGGGACCAACTTCCACACATGGAATTTCAAGATGCAGATGGTCCTGGAAGAGCGCGACCTGTGGAAGGTCACATGTGGAGAAGTCAAGCTGGAGCACTGCACCAACGTGATGGATAAATCGACGTTCAAGAGAAAGTCACGCAAGGCGCTGGCGATCATCTGTCTCGCGATGGAAGATTCGCAGCTGCCGCTAGTCCGTTCAGCGATTGGAGCGTACGATGCATGGTCAAGACTGGAAGGACACTACGAGAAGAAGAGCCTGGCGAACAAACTATTTCTTCTTCGACGCTTCTTCACAACGATGATGGATGAAGGTGATGATGTGCTGAAGCACATCAACAAGCTCAAGTCTCTGGCGGAGCAGCTTGATGCGGTTGGCGCTCCGGTCAGCGAGGACGACTTGGTGATCACGCTTCTTGGTAGTCTAAGCGAGTCGTACCAGTTTCTATTCACGGGGTAAGAGTCTCGTGCTGACATTATGTCGTGGGAACTCGTGACGTCTCGGCTAAAGCATGAAGACATGAAGCGCAAGGAATAAGGTGGCGGCGTCGACGAATCCGCGCACGGTCAAGTTCAAGCGTTCATGACAAGCAATCACAGCAAGCGAAAAGGAGGACGGCCTGTGCAGAAGGCCAGTGCATGTCACTACTGTGGCGAGCAAGGACATTGGATTGCCAAGTCTCTGGTGAGGATCCGCGGGAATGCGGAATGGAAGAGGTTGCAAAGAGCAAGCGTCGCGCAGGTTGAAGAAAACTCTGGCGCCTTTCTGTTTTCAGTTAATGGAGATAACATCAAGCTGAGTGAAGAGTGGCTGGTCGACTCAGGTGCGACTCAGCACATGACATACTCAAAAGAGTACATGAAGAACTACCAGAAGATCTCGCCAGTGGATGTGAATTTGGCGGTTGATGGCGTGGTACAAGCAGTGGGAAAGGGAGTCATCATCCTGTCAATGAGGACAAAACACGGCGTCAAGAAAGGTGTGCTTACTGGTGTGTGGCAAATCCCCAAGTTGACGCGCAACCTGTTCTCTGTGAGGCGTTTTACGAAGGACATTGGCCCCGTCACATTTGAAAGTGACGGGTGCTTTGCTCAGTCGAAGAGTGTGAAGTGACAGCTTGGTACGCGCAAGGGAAAGGGCTTATTCAAGTTATGCATGACTCCGCTCATGCCAGATGAGGCAAATGTGTCAAGTTCAACCAGTTTCAATGGGACCAACCGGTCGTACCTCCGGCATCTTCGACTTGGCCATATTGGCCATAACGGTCTAGACTCCATTGTCAAGAAGGGCTACGGCATCGGCATCAACATCACGTCTGTGCAACAGTGGGAGATGAGTCGAGGGTGTGATCTTGGCAAACAAACTCGAGTGAGTTTTTTGCAAAAGTCCCCAGAGAGTGCAAAGAAGATGCTAGAAGTCATCCACAGCGATGTCTGTGGTCCTATGCAAACAGCTTCGCTCGGTGGAAGCAGATACTTTGTCACGTTCTTTGACGAGTATTTACACTTTAGTGTGGTGTTCTTGCTTAAGAACAACTCTGAAGTGGCTTCTAAGTTTGCCGAATTCGTCGCATTTGCAGAGACTCAGACAGGCAACCGCGTCAAGCTACTTCGCAGTGACAACGGCGGAGAGTACAAGTCGCATGAGATGACCAAGCTATGCAGCAGTCGTGGCATTGTACAAAAGTTCACGCCTCCCTACACACCTCAACTCATCGTAGTGGCAGAACGGATGAACAGGACATTGGTAGAATGCGCTCTCTGCATGTTGGAGCATGCCGAATTGTCCAAGGAATATTGGGGTGAAGCGGTTGTAACCGCTACATTTCTATGAAAACGATGTCCAACACGTGCCACAAGTCAAGACAAGTCGCCACATCAAATCTGGACCGGCAAGTAACCGCTATTTATAAATCTGAAGGTGTTCGGTTGTCACACATACGTGACGGTCCCGAAGCAAAAGCGCATCAAGTTTGATGTGCAGTCAGTCTATTGCCGCTTCATAGGATACTATGAACACGAGAAAGCGTATCACTTTGAAGAGATCAAGAGCCATCGTGTTCTAGTGAGTGGCGACGCAAAATTTATGGAAGACGTCTTCGACAGTGGGAGACGCACCGAAAGAGACGCAGAAGATGTCTTTGAAAGTCAAGAAGATGAGAGTACAGGTCATAAATGTTTTTCTGTACCAATTCAGCCTGACGAAGAAGACGCTGCGCAAGACCAAGATACGGAGCCCGGCAGTAAGCGCCACACGCTATTTACTTCGTTGGAACAAGCTGTGGAGATTCCGGTTCCTAAGCGGCAGAGTCAAAGAATTTTGCTCAGAAAAATATCGGCGGTGGCACAAGTCGAGGATGACTTTGAGACAGCCTACGTTGTGGATTCAGAGGTAGATATGCCGACAACGTTTAAGTCGGCGATAAAATCCAACAACGCGGTCAAGTGGAAGGAAGCGTGCGACTCCGAAATCGACTCCCTCCGCAAGAACAAAGGCATGGGAGTTGGTACAATTAACTATGGGTCGGAAAACTATCGGATGCAGATGGGTGTTCCGCGTCAAAGAGAATCAAGATGGTGGGATCGAGCGCTCTAAAGCGCGCCTTGTTGTGAAGGGGTTCCCACAGAAGTTTGGCATCGACTACGGGGAAACACTTGCTCGGGTTGCCAAGTTCACTTCGATTAGAGTCATCCTCAGTCTTGCAGCCAAGTACCACCTTGATGTGCACCAGATGGATGTCAAGACCGTGTTTCTGAGCGGCGAGCTGGATGAAGACATCTACATGGCGCAACCAGACGGCTACGTCGACGAAGATCACGAGCATTTCGTTTGCAAACTGCAGCGGTCACTGTACGGACTAAAATAATCACCGCGGATGTGAAACAAGACCATTGACGAGTTCATGATCAAGGTCGGATTTAAGAAATGCGAGTCCAATCACTGCATCTACTTAAAGCGAGATGAGCAGCGCATGATCTTCGTGGCGCTCTACGTCGATGATTTAATCATCGCCAGCAGCAGCAACAAGAGCCTTCGTGAAGCCAAAAGCGCACTTAGTGAGAGGTTCGAGATGACAGACATGGGGAAGCTTAAGTTCTTTCTTGGAATTGAGATTGAGCGGGAAGAATCAGGAGGGACACTGTCATTGCGGCAGAGCAAGTTCGCGAAAGACATTTTAGAGAAATTCAGCATGCTGAATAGCAATTCAGTTAGGTCGCCACAAGACCCGGGCCTGAAGTTGACCAAGGCCATGTGAGAAGGAGGTTGCAAGCCTGAAAAAACGATGGCAAATTTTCCCTACCGGAATGCCGTAGGACGCCTCATGTACCTTATGGTTGGCACCCGTCTCGACCTTCAGCTGCAGTGGGAGTGCTCAGCCAGTTTGCCTCCGATCCGTGTCCAACACACTGGCAAGCACTCGAGAGGGTTTTCCATTATGTAAATGGTACCAGGACACACGGAATAGAATTTCAAGCAAGTGAAGACGACAGCCTTCAAGGCTACTCGGATGCAGACTGGGCCGGCGACATAGAGTCAAGGCGCAGTACAAGTGGCTACGCCTTCATGATGAACAACAGTTGCATCAGCTGGAGGAGCAAGAAGCAACGAACGGCGGCACTGTCATTAACGGAAGCAGAGTACATGGCGCTATCGGAGGCTACACAAGAAGCAGTTTGGTTGAAAGTGTTCCTGTGCGAACTTGATGAAATGACAAGTAACCAAGCTATTAAGATCTTCGAGGACGACCAAGGATCGATTGCATTGACCAAGAACCCATGATTTCACAAACGGACCAAGCACATCGACATTCGCTACCATTTTGTTTGTGCAAGGTTGCTGAAGGAAAAGTGGTGCTAGAATGCTGCCCAACCAAGGACATGAAGGCCGATATAATGACCAAGCCGATCACCGTCATACAGTTTCAAAAATTTCGGACCATGTTGGGCATCAAGGCGCCACGATCTGCGGAGGTGAGTGGGAGTGTTGTAAACGAGACGTCTCGGCATGATGTGAAAGAAATGTGTTCTGTAGCTCAGCCGGTTTGGTATGGCAGTACCATCCCAAAGGTCACTGGTTCGATACCGGTGGGGGCGTACAAACAACAAGTTAAGCCTTCGGGATCTGGTGTTTGGGGTTCACCAGCACTGTACTGCCAGACAGTGACGTCCCCCATTTTTGGTACGTTTGGGTGTTCAGAAACGCACGACCAGAATTAGAAACGTACGACTAGACGATTAGTAATGCGCGATGTGGCCATTACTAATGCGCGACTATACGATTAGTAATGCGCGGCATAGCGATCAGGAACGTGTAGTCGAAGAATCCTGTAGGCTTAGAGTAGCAACAGAGTTTGTGAACTAAGGACATAAATGTATTTACTTCGCATTTTACCATCTAGTGCTCGACTGCCTTAGCCTTCAGGTTATGAGCCCAAGCCCCGTTTCCTCCAACGAAGACTCCGACTACGCCTTCACCATGGACGCTGCCGCAACGCCGACCACCCGCATTAACAAGTTTTAGGGGACCAACTTCCACACATGGAATTTCAAGATGCAGATGGTCCTGGAAGAGCGCGACCTGTGGAAGGTCACATGTGGAGAAGTCAAGCTGGAGCACTGCACCAACGTGATGGATAAATCGACGTTCAAGAGAAAGTCACGCAAGGCGCTGGCGATCATCTGTCTCGCGATGGAAGATTCGCAGCTGCCGCTAGTCCGTTCAGCGATTGGAGCGTACGATGCATGGTCAAGACTGGAAGGACACTACGAGAAGAAGAGCCTGGCGAACAAACTATTTCTTCTTCGACGCTTCTTCACAACGATGATGGATGAAGGTGATGATGTGCTGAAGCACATCAACAAGCTCAAGTCTCTGGCGGAGCAGCTTGATGCGGTTGGCGCTCCGGTCAGCGAGGACGACTTGGTGATCACGCTTCTTGGTAGTCTAAGCGAGTCGTACCAGTTTCTATTCACGGGGTAAGAGTCTCGTGCTGACATTATGTCGTGGGAACTCGTGACGTCTCGGCTAAAGCATGAAGACATGAAGCGCAAGGAATAAGGTGGCGGCGTCGACGAATCCGCGCACGGTCAAGTTCAAGCGTTCATGACAAGCAATCACAGCAAGCGAAAAGGAGGACGGCCTGTGCAGAAGGCCAGTGCATGTCACTACTGTGGCGAGCAAGGACATTGGATTGCCAAGTCTCTGGTGAGGATCCGCGGGAATGCGGAATGGAAGAGGTTGCAAAGAGCAAGCGTCGCGCAGGTTGAAGAAAACTCTGGCGCCTTTCTGTTTTCAGTTAATGGAGATAACATCAAGCTGAGTGAAGAGTGGCTGGTCGACTCAGGTGCGACTCAGCACATGACATACTCAAAAGAGTACATGAAGAACTACCAGAAGATCTCGCCAGTGGATGTGAATTTGGCGGTTGATGGCGTGGTACAAGCAGTGGGAAAGGGAGTCATCATCCTGTCAATGAGGACAAAACACGGCGTCAAGAAAGGTGTGCTTACTGGTGTGTGGCAAATCCCCAAGTTGACGCGCAACCTGTTCTCTGTGAGGCGTTTTACGAAGGACATTGGCCCCGTCACATTTGAAAGTGACGGGTGCTTTGCTCAGTCGAAGAGTGTGAAGTGACAGCTTGGTACGCGCAAGGGAAAGGGCTTATTCAAGTTATGCATGACTCCGCTCATGCCAGATGAGGCAAATGTGTCAAGTTCAACCAGTTTCAATGGGACCAACCGGTCGTACCTCCGGCATCTTCGACTTGGCCATATTGGCCATAACGGTCTAGACTCCATTGTCAAGAAGGGCTACGGCATCGGCATCAACATCACGTCTGTGCAACAGTGGGAGATGAGTCGAGGGTGTGATCTTGGCAAACAAACTCGAGTGAGTTTTTGCAAAAGTCCCCAGAGAGTGCAAAGAAGATGCTAGAAGTCATCCACAGCGATGTCTGTGGTCCTATGCAAACAGCTTCGCTCGGTGGAAGCAGATACTTTGTCACGTTCTTTGACGAGTATTTACACTTTAGTGTGGTGTTCTTGCTTAAGAACAACTCTGAAGTGGCTTCTAAGTTTGCCGAATTCGTCGCATTTGCAGAGACTCAGACAGGCAACCGCGTCAAGCTACTTCGCAGTGACAACGGCGGAGAGTACAAGTCGCATGAGATGACCAAGCTATGCAGCAGTCGTGGCATTGTACAAAAGTTCACGCCTCCCTACACACCTCAACTCATCGTAGTGGCAGAACGGATGAACAGGACATTGGTAGAATGCGCTCTCTGCATGTTGGAGCATGCCGAATTGTCCAAGGAATATTGGGGTGAAGCGGTTGTAACCGCTACATTTCTATGAAAACGATGTCCAACACGTGCCACAAGTCAAGACAAGTCGCCACATCAAATCTGGACCGGCAAGTAACCGCTATTTATAAATCTGAAGGTGTTCGGTTGTCACACATACGTGACGGTCCCGAAGCAAAAGCGCATCAAGTTTGATGTGCAGTCAGTCTATTGCCGCTTCATAGGATACTCTGAACACGAGAAAGCGTATCACTTTGAAGAGATCAAGAGCCATCGTGTTCTAGTGAGTGGCGACGCAAAATTTATGGAAGACGTCTTCGACAGTGGGAGACGCACCGAAAGAGACGCAGAAGATGTCTTTGAAAGTCAAGAAGATGAGAGTACAGGTCATAAATGTTTTTCTGTACCAATTCAGCCTGACGAAGAAGACGCTGCGCAAGACCAAGATACGGAGCCCGGCAGTAAGCGCCACACGCTATTTACTTCGTTGGAACAAGCTGTGGAGATTCCGGTTCCTAAGCGGCAGAGTCAAAGAATTTTGCTCAGAAAAATATCGGCGGTGGCACAAGTCGAGGATGACTTTGAGACAGCCTACGTTGTGGATTCAGAGGTAGATATGCCGACAACGTTTAAGTCGGCGATAAAATCCAACAACGCGGTCAAGTGGAAGGAAGCGTGCGACTCCGAAATCGACTCCCTCCGCAAGAACAAAGGCATGGGAGTTGGTACAATTAACTATGGGTCGGAAAACTATCGGATGCAGATGGGTGTTCCGCGTCAAAGAGAATCAAGATGGTGGGATCGAGCGCTCTAAAGCGCGCCTTGTTGTGAAGGGGTTCCCACAGAAGTTTGGCATCGACTACGGGGAAACACTTGCTCGGGTTGCCAAGTTCACTTCGATTAGAGTCATCCTCAGTCTTGCAGCCAAGTACCACCTTGATGTGCACCAGATGGATGTCAAGACCGCGTTTCTGAGCGGCGAGCTGGATGAAGACATCTACATGGCGCAACCAGACGGCTACGTCGACGAAGATCACGAGCATTTCGTTTGCAAACTGCAGCGGTCACTGTACGGACTAAAATAATCACCGCGGATGTGAAACAAGACCATTGACGAGTTCATGATCAAGGTCGGATTTAAGAAATGCGAGTCCAATCACTGCATCTACTTAAAGCGAGATGAGCAGCGCATGATCTTCGTGGCGCTCTACGTCGATGATTTAATCATCGCCAGCAGCAGCAACAAGAGCCTTCGTGAAGCCAAAAGCGCACTTAGTGAGAGGTTCGAGATGACAGACATGGGGAAGCTTAAGTTCTTTCTTGGAATTGAGATTGAGCGGGAAGAATCAGGAGGGACACTGTCATTGCGGCAGAGCAAGTTCGCGAAAGACATTTTAGAGAAATTCAGCATGCTGAATAGCAATTCAGTTAGGTCGCCACAAGACCCGGGCCTGAAGTTGACCAAGGCCATGTGAGAAGGAGGTTGCAAGCCTGAAAAAACGATGGCAAATTTTCCCTACCGGAATGCCGTAGGACGCCTCATGTACCTTATGGTTGGCACCCGTCTCGACCTTCAGCTGCAGTGGGAGTGCTCAGCCAGTTTGCCTCCGATCCGTGTCCAACACACTGGCAAGCACTCGAGAGGGTTTTCCATTATGTAAATGGTACCAGGACACACGGAATAGAATTTCAAGCAAGTGAAGACGACAGCCTTCAAGGCTACTCGGATGCAGACTGGGCCGGCGACATAGAGTCAAGGCGCAGTACAAGTGGCTACGCCTTCATGATGAACAACAGTTGCATCAGCTGGAGGAGCAAGAAGCAACGAACGGCGGCACTGTCATTAACGGAAGCAGAGTACATGGCGCTATCGGAGGCTACACAAGAAGCAGTTTGGTTGAAAGTGTTCCTGTGCGAACTTGGTGAAATGACAAGTAACCAAGCTATTAAGATCTTCGAGGACGACCAAGGATCGATTGCATTGACCAAGAACCCATGATTTCACAAACGGACCAAGCACATCGACATTCGCTACCATTTTGTTTGTGCAAGGTTGCTGAAGGAAAAGTGGTGCTAGAATGCTGCCCAACCAAGGACATGAAGGCCGATATAATGACCAAGCCGATCACCGTCATACAGTTTCAAAAATTTCGGACCATGTTGGGCATCAAGGCGCCACGATCTGCGGAGGTGAGTGGGAGTGTTGTAAACGAGACGTCTCGGCATGATGTGAAAGAAATGTGTTCTGTAGCTCAGCCGGTTTGGTATGGCAGTACCATCCCAAAGGTCACTGGTTCGATACCGGTGGGGGCGTACAAACAACAAGTTAAGCCTTCGGGATCTGGTGTTTGGGGTTCACCAGCACTGTACTGCCAGACAGTGACGTCCCCCATTTTCGGTACGTTTGGGTGTTCAGAAACGCACGACCAGAATTAGAAACGTACGACTAGACGATTAGTAATGCGCGATGTGGCCATTA